CTTGAGTGTTTATATTGTTGGACTTCCGCTTTTTGGAGTTCTTTTTAACAGAACTGCGACTAGAAGAATTGTGACTTTCTCTGCCTCGTGTATTATTAATGCAAGCATTAAATGTGGGAAATCTCTGTCCGAGCTCGGCTGCAAATGCCGAGATATTTCCACCAGAAGTAGTCGACATATTTGAATAACTTGCACTGCTGTTTGAAGCAGTTGATTCTGCTAAATTTCTAATATCAGGATTTCTTAAATTGCCAATAGCTTGTAGTGCTTGTGCAGCAACTTCGCAAGCCGATGAAATATCTTCGAAGTTTCTTCCCGCCATCTTTGGTTGCGTTTGCGGCAACAATCGAAGTATCGAACTTTTATTGACTTTTTATACCGGAGAAAATGTCATTGAGCATATAAAAAGTCATTGAGCATATAAAAAGTCAATGAGCATATAAAAAGTCATTGAGCATATAAAAAGTCGTTGACCATATAAAAATTCGTTGACCATATAAAAAGTCGTTGACCATATAAAAAAACCTTGACCATATAAAAAGTCGCGTTGAGCATATAGAAAGTAGGTGAGGTTACAAAAACTTGAATAGGCCATATAAAAAATAAAACCCCCCAGAGAAAAACAGAAAATGGCAAAAAGAAAAGAGATGTTGGCCAAACATAAAGTCGAACGTACCAAATATATTCAATTGCAATATTGACTAGTTCGGCGCCCCATAGAAAGGGCTTTACACAGTTACAGTAGATGAATACTCAATAGGACTTATGACGCTTCACAGCACACTATGCATATTTTGCATTTTTTTCAGTGTTAATCCTTAAACTCATTGTTAAAAATTAATCACCGTGGTGGTTATTGTAATTATTGGTATTGTTTTGCATCCACGTTTTGTCGTTATCGGAAAATGTATGGTTTGTCACTATTTTTTACTTGCATTATTTCAATATAGTTTGTAAACTCAGAAGCGAAGTGTAGAACTTGGCAATAGGCAATAATCCAATAATATACGTTTCAAAGAAGCAAAAAAGACAAGAAAGCTTTTAGTTTTGCAGAGTTACATTCTCAAATGTTTAAGGCATGCACTAATAAAATCAAAGTATCATGAAATTATTTCAATAAACCACACCACATATTATACAATGCAATTTTCTTTGCGGAAGTGAAGAATCAAGATTACATCACTGACACAGAAAGTTGACGATTCAACGGACAATAGTCAATACGCTTCCCAACAAATTCCATGGATTTTTTACTAATCCTATAGTTTATTGTTAGCAAGTGATTACTGTGGCGGCTATTGTTAACACTCATATTGATAAAATTTGCAAGCGATTGTTTTTATAATATGTTATGTGAATGTAAACTGCCAGAAGAATACGACAACACGATTTTATGCGATCTCTGTGATGGTTCCACTTTAGATGTGTAGAATATGACACTAGTCTAAGTACCTCAAATGAGTGGTTATGCAGACTGTGCACACCACCAGCTGCTAAGAAGCCTAAAATGTGTATGTGATTTTGTCTCCTTGTAATAAATAAATAAATCACACAATAAATCTTTTCAACTTGCAATCGTTTGGTTTTTAGATCAAAAATTCAAAATTTATATGGGGGGGCGAAATTCCTAAAGGGGGGCGCGATATTCCTAGGAGATTCGCCCCCCAGGGGGGGTAGTCAGTATGGGGGAAGTTTAGTCAGTATAATAACGTTTGTGAATTGTTTTGATTCAAATAATCAAATTATTACAGTACTGTTCCAAGTACTGTCCCCCTTCCCAGTGCCAGTGGAGAAAAATTTGAAATGTTTGATTTTCGTTGTCCAATCAGGGTTGAGTGTATTTTGAGTTGTTCAACGACTTCCGTTTTTTGTCCAGCAAACCCGGCACGCGGATATATTTTGGCCGAATTTTGTTATTCCCTCACGGATTTCAGAGTGAATTTAAGCTCTTTGATTAAAGCATCGTTGTTTTGAGAGTTATACGGTATCATTCTTGCAGGGGATATCGATTAATTGTGAAAGAAATGCATTAAAGGCGAAAAATCGAGGATAGTTTCGTGTGACATATGCCAGTCTGGGCTATTTTGGTCTCAATGTTTCCTTCCTTCCCTCGTTATAAGGAAGGCACAGGCGGGCGCGGGCAAATCGATCCTGGGCCTCCTGTGATAAAACTAGTATCTCAGGAACACCACAGTAAATTTGTGGTAATCACACCAATACTGTTGCAAACATAGAGATTATAAATAACACTAGAGGAGGCATTGTAATCTTAATTCAGTAAAAAAAAGGGAACGCGGCTATTGGGGGGCAAATTTAAGTCCCGGATGTGTATTCATGTTTCCATTGGTGACGAGTTTCAAATCAGCCAATCAGAGCACGATTTTATATCCGGGACTTGAATTTGCCCCCCATTAGCTGCGTTCCAATTTTTAACCTCGATGCCTCCTCTAGTATTATTTATAATCTCTATGGTTGCAAATCGCTTTATTTATAATTTATATTCAGTTTTAGTTTTGAGGTCAGAGGATCATATTCGCAGGCCCTATTACTGTATGGTCTGACAGATAGCCCTTTAGTCAAGTTATTTTCCGTTGATTTTTTTCCAGAAACGTCTACTTGGTGTTCTCGTACTTCTGGTTTTTCATTGGTCTTCCCATGGGTTTCGTCTCCACCATATCTCGGATCTTGAAGGCAACGGCCGTTGGCGCTCTAATGTTGCCAAGAATTGATCATAGTATCATGCCCGGTGGCTTTCAATCGTTTGATGGAGGTAACCAACTTGCATAAGCGTACGGGGCTGATGCTTTCCGGGGGTAGTTAATGTTTGCCCGAATTGTATGGAATATGAAATAACCTGAATTTAACATATGCTATGATAAATCTGCCCGAATTTTCTGGATTTGTCGTAGCATTCGCCCGAATATCATGGTTTTGTAAAGTTTGGAGGGGGAAGTTGTGCCACTCCTGTCTCGTACGCCTATGCCAACTTGTTGTAATGGTCATGGGTAAAAGGGAGGGAGGTTTTCAAGATAGTTCAAAATTTAATCTCAGATCAGTTTGCTTGAGTTCAAGGTTAATGTTTGGGTTAGGATTGGGGTTAGATCAGTGACAGACACTGGGAGATACGATCCATGAGAAAACTGGATTAGCTCGGGAAAATGGTATGAAAATGCTTACCACCTTCATAGATTTTGGACGTTCGTTCCAAATGTATGTAAAACTCACTGGTTTCAGCAAGTATCTTTATGTGGTGACACTTATGAAAGCGACGTTAATTTAGTTTTACTTTTCTCAAAGGCCGAATTACTGAAGATGGTTTTCCATGTATATGTATATATATAGAAAAAGAGAGAGAAAGCTCCATGACTTGGTCACATTGGCGTAGCCAAGGGCCTAGACACCTATTGTAAAACTATAATTTCATTTTTTTTATAATTTCGATACGCAGGCTACAGTCTTTATAACATTTTTTTGTTATTCTGAAAGGTTTCGAGGCGTACATCTGTTATCTTCACGTGCAAACAGTAGGGATGGGCGATACCAGCTTTTTCATTCGATACGATATTTGCTCGATATTTGCCGGGTTTTTTCGATATCGATACCGATATCGATATTTTCCCAACTTGAAATCATTAACAACGGCCACAACGCTAACAATATAAACATTGAATAATATATGTCAGTGATTGCAACCAACATAACCAGAAACTCCCATCCTTCCCGTGGACTATTATAGCACCATAGAAAATGAACTATTTACACCTATTTAGGCTTTTTGGTATCATTTTCATGATGATGCCGCTGACCAAAATGAAAAATATCGCGGGCGCAGAAATATCGAAACATCGATATTTCTTGCCAGTATCGATACTTTTCTTCAAAACCCTGGTATCGATAGTATCGAGTATTTGGTATCGATATCGGCCCATCCCTAGCAAACAGCTTATAGAAACCCAGTCCTTCGAGTTTTCTGTCAGATATTGAGTGACGAAACACGTAAGTTTTGACAATTTCTTTACAGTATAGGGTGCAAATAAACCTCATGAATTGTTCATAAATTTTACAAACATTTTTTACAACCATAAATTGGCCGACTTCAATCTTATTGTCGACTCTGTGCCCGGCATAAGAATTCTCCGCATGTTATCTTCAATAAGCCCGCTAGCTTTTGGCTCGCAACGTACCTAGCGAACCAGTGAACTCTATTATAACTGGAACGATAAGTGCAGGTAAACTGCCCTATGATTGGGTGAAGCCAAGATGGCGTCCTATAGAACACGCGTGTTTTCGTGTGGGCTTCGTGGGAGCTGAAAATGACTAAAGTTTTCCGAGCGATGTTTTTCAATTTTTGCACGAAATGCTCATTTTTAGAACAAAAAACCTTCCTAAATTAGCTAAAAACAACAAGGCCATGACCAGGTCATGACCTGGAGCCTCGTTTTCGTCACATATATAACCATCGACACGGTAGTAATTTCCTCTGTCTTTTCCTCATGAATTCTTAATGAGTTTTTTAATGTATTAAAGGACAAAACCGGGAACGAAAATGGAAATTTTCAGCTCAAGCTCGTACCAGGTGGTTCCTCGCCCTTACCTTGGCTCGCAACCCACAACTAGCGTCTGACCGTAAACCTGGTGGTGTTGAAGCACCTCAACCTGTTCAAGGTGGTTGTGTCAAACATGGCGACGTCAAAATTAAAATTAGTCGGTATGAGTTAAGACAAGATAAGTGAATGATATGCAGTACAGTAAAAACCCACATACAGTAAAAGAACAACTATTTTTATATCAGGCTGAAGTTGTTTGCTTTATTGTTTCGCAGTCTCTCGCATCGTTTGATCGATGTCGGGCTGAATGTAATAGGTAATTAGAAATGAGAGGCTAGAGTTCGTTCTTAACTGGTTCTTATTTCTAGGAATTTAAATCTCCCATTACGCTAGTAACAGAGTTCGTACAAAACTTGAAAGTCCTTGAATGTCCTTGAATGTGAAAACAAAAATTCAAGGCCTTGCCGAATGTTTTGGAATTTGTAAAGAAGTAACTGAATGTCCTTGAATTCTTCTTGCTTTAGTTTTATTATCGATATTTTCTGAAATTGTACCTGGTTCCTGGATCATTTCTAGCAACTTCCAGAGCTCGTCTAGGTTTTCGCAAAATCCCGTTTTTCAAGCGCTTTGAAAAGATCCAAAGGTTTTTGCCTCAGTTTTCGCAGCTTCTCGATTGTCGCAGCTTTGATTTCATGGCGTAGAACATACTTCAGATTGTCAAAGATATTAGTAATCTCTTTCATGAGCTTTATCACGAACTTACTGTATTCGTTCTTTTCGATATCAGTACCAGCGACACTCGACATTTTCATTACAGCTTCATGTTTACGCTGTTTTATAAGCAATTGCAAATGATGGTCAGGCAACTAAAATTCTATTTTTGTTATACCGGGTGGCCCAAAAAAAAGTACTCCTGTTTGATTCGTAATAACATCTAAACAAGTATAGCTTTTAAAGAGAAATAACTTGCATCAAATAGAGGAAGGACTAACTTAGACTTTGATATATTACAGTTGTATTTCACTTAAAAATTCACGGAGATATTAATCTTAAAATTCGGGAGGATATTTCTGGATGTGTCTGAAATATGCAAAAATCGGCGTATCAAATATTAATCAAGATTTGCCCGACTGAAACATGCACTATTACCAGTAAATAAATGACACTTGACAAATTGTTTATTATGAAACAAAGTATTATTATATCTACAAAATACAAGCAAGATTCATTCGTCCGAAATTCGCCATACAACTCCATAAGACATAACAATTAAGCAACTCCCCAGAGACATGCAACATTTTTGGAACAAAACGTA